GTACTAGCAGACCCCGCCACGCGTTGTCGTGGCTCAAAATGTATCTATTATAAATTTATAACACTTCCACGTGGGGGGGGATTTTTCGAAAAATTTCTTCTTAGTGAACATTCTGTTGACGTACCGTATTAAAACGAAAAACCGCATCTAAAATAGTATAAATAGAAGCAGAGTTCTTTTACGGTAAGCCTTAATCCTAACCATCTTCCTTCAGTGGGGGGAATTTCGACACGTATATTATATAAAAACACGTGCGTATTCGAATGCAGCGTTGTGTCAAAATTTCAAAGGAATCGGTAGGAACAAACGAACATTACATTTTTATTTATATATATAGATAGAAGATGATCTGCTTTAGTTCATTTTCACAGGAAAGCGTAATGCCTCACAGAAAAGCAAACTTAGGTCGTCGTACTTGTAGCGCCATCTGTTGGACGTAAAAGCCTTAACCTAGATTATATATTTTAATTTATATGAATGTTTAACGGAATAATATACAGCCTATGTCCACCCTGAGGTTCCGTTCTAAATATTGGTGAAAGAATTTTTGAAATCGGATGAGTAGTTTCGGAGATTACCTGCTGCAAACAAACTTACATACATATACATACAAACATTACCTCTTTATAATACTGTATTAGTATAGATTAGTGATAATGTTCATGTCTTCTGATGCGACTAAGTACATGTAACGGAATTTAGGCCTAAGGGTCAAAAATAAAAACAGTATTGCGTGCGCCTAACGGAAAATAAGCACGAAAAACGAACAAAACACAAGAACAAAGCAATCGATGGTGATTGTTCCGTGTCTCCCGTGACCTGCAGATACGAGGTAGCTTTTATTGTGGCGGCAAGTGCAAAGTTCGCCTGTCCGCGTCCGTCAGGTACTGAGCAAGAATCGCCTGTTCTGTGCCTAACAGGATTGCTTCTTTCCTTCCGGCTCCGCTTCAATTCTATCGCGATATAAAGTCGCGCGATGTCCTAGTTATATTTAGATACTGTACTGGATCAGTAGTAGGTATATTGTTAAGTAATGACAACGCAACACTTGGGCGATCCGTCTAGGGGTATGCCTTCCCAGAGATCTTTTTTAAGGGTAACTGGTCCCTATTCAGGGGTATTACACAAGTGGAGAAAACCCGGAAAATTCCATGTGGTCAGCCTGTCCTGGCGAGACGCGAACCCCCCACCGAACTCCCAGTGTTCAGGAAACGGAACCGCTTGGACACTGGTGGGCCACAGAGCACTTGTCCCTCCTCGGAATCAAGTAAAAACTTCCTCAAATTATAATCGTACTAAAAGTGATTGAGATGTATAACCTTACACCCTCGACCATGGGGCGCTTTGTCTGTCTTAAAAAAATTAAATAAATAAAAATTTATTGATGTGATTATTTGTCTCCAAGCTTTTCCCCTCTGAAAAATTTTCTGCGGACGACCATGACTGTAGGTTATGTATATACAGGTATGTTGCTTATGAAATTTTAAGCTTGAAATATTTAAAACATAGTTGTGCTGCTCACTTTGCAAAAATGACTTTTTTTTATATATATATTCCTATTTTCAGCGCTGTATTAGCGTAGGCTAGTAGAAAATGCCGTTCCAGTGCTGTGAGTAATTAAGAACTGTCTTAAACAATGAATGACAGCACTTAAAGATGGCAGTTTTCGAAGTGCTGGGTATTTTACTGCACAAAAAAAGTTGTTACGCTATTTCCTGAGAGAATAAAGAGGGGGGAAATACTGATTTACTGTCGTTTTGTATCATCTCTGAGATTTTCTCCATAAAAAAAGACAAGTTTCTTTGTAGCTTTTTCCTGTATGCTTGCCGCCATGTTTGCTTAAGCAGAAAAAGCAGTCTTTCGGTGGGTGATTCGAAAATATTCTCAAATCAGATTTCCTCCAGCCTCAGCTCAAATTTAGGAATGTGTTTTGTGAAGCGCAGAAAATAGGAATGTCCTGATTGTCTGTTTTATATTTTTCTAGAATATTCCATAATTTTTATTGACTGATCGAGAGAATTGGCTTGTAGGGTGCGGCCATGCAGACGCGAATTTAGAGCGAGCGATTTAGTTTTCGCAAAGGAAAACCCATGAACAAGCGAGAAATAACGTTAGCGAGAGCGAATTTCTGGTTCTCGCACATATCTGACAGATTTTGATATTTATCGCTTCTCGCCACATATTCTCGCTCGCTCGCGTCTGCATAGTCGCACCCTTACTCAAATGTTCTTTCGGCAAAATTTATTTCAATATACAGAAAGACTCCGCTTAACGCGGGGGATGCGTTCCTAGACAACAAAGCGCTAAGCGAAACAGCGTTAAACAAGATCATTTTAACATAGAATAAATAGGGATAGGGGAACACGCGACCAAAAATCAACAAATTTTACTTAATTTTAAGTTATTTTTATATTAATTTGTATAATAATATATGTTAAATAACACATAAATATATGCGCACAGAAATGTAAAGTTCATTTTTTGTGATGAAGGTCCTGGCTTTTCTGAAATTCTTGTTCTTTTGCAATAAAGTCGTGAAGTTTCATCGCTTTTTTCTTTTCTTGGGCAAATGTCGGTAGCAGGAGATCACATTTAAAACGCCTCGAATGAAAGCGTTTCGTCGAATGAAGTTTTATTCATTCGACATAACTGAAAATGTTTATAGACTCCTTCACGGAGAAAACGTGGGAGAGCATTCACTCGGCATCCACTCGTTTCCTCTGGATTCTCCATTGAAGAGAGATATGGAGATCGTACAGGCCAATGAAATCAGCTAGATTATGATCAGATCATGCAATATGTCTGCTGATATATTCACTGTGTGGGGCCGCGCAGAAAATGACGTTAGATACACCCTGAAGATAAAGTGTGAAAGGCTGTAGCACCTCGTCAATATAACGGCCTGCCGTCAATGTGCTCCTGTTGCGTACTAGAAATCGCCTGTTAATGCTGATGGTATTCCAAAACATTATTCTTCATTGACAAGCGTGTGGCACTCCAAAATGGCGGAAGGATCAGCCTCGTCTCTGGACCCGCTCTCGGCATCATTGCTGAGACATTGACGCTGAACACCACACTGTGCCACTCGTCACTCCAAGTAGCTTAGGAGTGACACCACCACAAACTTGCCTCAGCCAGTCTATGATAAATTGTCAACGTCGATATTGGAGCATCCAAATTTGTCTGTATACGTCGCAGTATGTCTGTCGCCAGCTGATGATTGTGTAGTAGTTACTGCATGATGACGCCTAATGCGTCGCTCTGTACGTAGTAATGTTCCTCTCACTACTCCAATCCTTCTATGACGATGTACTATACCAGTGTTTCTCAACGGGGGCGATATCACCCCCATGTGGGCGTTTTTCCATGTTGAGGGGACGATTTGTAACAATTTATATTTTGGGTGGCGAAAAACCATTTTCTGGGCGATATAGTAAAACATTATATTAAGAATAATTAGATATTTTATTCGTTATATCGTACAATAATTAAACAAATAACATTATACTAGTCACTAGTCTATTCAATGTAGTCCGAATTTGGCATTAGCCTTGGCCCTCGGCATCGGAATTTTGAAATGAAGGGGGCGATACTAATTAACGGTTTTATTGGAGAGGGCGACGATTCGTTACAGGTTGAGAAACACTGTACTATACAGTTCGTTCTGCTGACAATTATCTCTAAATTCGACCCACGATTTTGCATCCCGTTGAGTTTTTGCCACAAAACGACATAAAATCCACCCGGCTGTATGTAGACCTATGATATAATCTTTAGTAAACTCATCCGTTTGATGAAATGTTCTCGAGCGCGTCTTAGAGGCATCGTTACTCCTTAGTCTTTATCTTAAGAAATGACACAAAGCAGTCGTTGTGGACATGACATCTCCAGAGTTAGCTTCACAGACTGGATTTCCTATTATCATGATCTCAGATTACGTGATTGGCTCGAAACTGCATGAAGTAGCATAACTGGTTTGTCTGAATATATTATGAAATTTACATAATGCTTTGGCAAAATTTTCATTGTGTGGCATTTTCTTTGTGATGGAGTGTATTTAAAGATCAAATTTCTGTAGTGTTTTCGATTGCTTATTACCTTGTAATAAGGGAAATCAAAAACATTTATATCCGTATTCACGGAAAATTATTAAAAATAAGCAACAGTAACAATACTTTCTGTTAAAGCATTGAGAAAAATTCAAATTATATAATGAACACAATAACAGAGCTTTAGGAAAATGTTCTTAAGTTCTGAAAACTTGAATCTGTGAATTTGTTGTGCACTATTGTTTTTAAAAAGAGACTAACAATAGCAAATATTTTGAAGGCAAATTATAATTGTGTTGTTCGTAATGTGATACGATACGAATGCTTGTAAAGCGTTAGCTTTTTCCTACAAATCGAAATAGCTTCCATTTATTTTTGAGTGTGGAAACTAATATTGAAGATATTTTACGGATTTTCCAGGAATTATAAAAAAATTAAATGCTGAAGTCATTCTTTTGTGGAAATGAATATGAAAAAATCATTTTTCAACCGCCCGGATTCGGTCCCAGGTCCTTCATATCAGTAGGATGAGCCTTAACGCCTCGGTGATTCGGCCGACATGATTTCACGGTTATTATTGTTTTTATTTCTAAATATGGGTATTCGGGTGGTAATCACATGTTATTTCAAAACGCTATCTATATTATTTAGAAATAAATTTTTGGGTTCTTCGTATAGTATAACAATAATGAATTCAAGTTAACACAAGAATAATTCTAAATGAAAGAAGTCACCATTCGTAATTTTCTGCTTTATGCTCAGCGTTCGTCAATAAGTAGGTTTGAACCTAATTGATAGGTTTAAATAAATTTATATACATTTATGTATAGGTATGTATATATACAGTATATATATAAATATATATTGTTTTTTGTTAATGATAAAATAATCAGATTTATTTTCTTATATAGCTTTTTTATGAAGTGCAATAACATTTTAATATATTTTCAGAACAAAGTGTCAGCTGATAGTAGTAGTAATAGTAGTAGTAATGTGTTAACAACCAATGCCATTGAGGAAACGCCTAATTTGTTGTCATCAGTTAGTGTTCAAAGTGATGTAACTGTTACCGAAACGCAACGAGAAAGTGACTGTCCCGTATTATCGGACTCTGTTCAGATTTCTACAATATCCACAGTTCTGCAGAACTTTGTTTTGGACAATAAATCTGTTTTAGATAACAAATCAAAGAACGCGGATCCAGAGAATCCCGATACAAACAAAAATGCAGAAAAAATCACCAATGAATCACCGAAACAAGTCGAATCACCCAACGAAAATTCTAGCGCTGATAACGAAACTTCAAGTATGGATGAACTACCTACTCTTGAAGATATACTTGTTGGAAATTCAAAAAAGAAAGGTATCCTATTAAAAATAAGATTTTAAAAATTTTTAATATGATTAAGCAATACGAAATTTAATTCATACGTTTAGAATAGCATGGAAATATGAGGTAGGCTTATAAATTTTGTCATAGTTTGTCAGTTAGTGATCATCGAGCGCGATTTTTCTGAACTTCGTCTCTGAGAATGACTTTCTTGGAGATTCAGTTGTATATTCGTACGAGGTAGCCTAAAAAATATTTATAAAGTTGAATTCTTTATTACAACTAAATGTCGAGAAATACAAATCGTATTCAAATCAGCCATTTATATAATAATATGTCTAACAAATTCCTTCAACTTCGACGATGCTTTAAATCATTGAAAGCACTGTGGAGGAGAATTGAATGGCCTGGATATTCTCAAATCTGAATCATTAAAATTTCTTTTCATGGAGATGTCTTGAAATCTTTCCTTTCCTTTCTCATAGAGGGGTGTATTGCTGTTCGCTTTTACTCCGAAGAGAAGAGAGACAGGAGATAGATCGCAAGGCGACGGAAGAGCTGGCCTTATAGAAGACGGCCGGAAAAGACACGAAGGGAGATAGAATGCGTTCCGCGAGGACTTTTATGGGAAGTTGGCCCTTATTTAGGCGTCATCTGCAAGGAGAAAAACCGGAAAACGCCAAGCTGCCAGCCTCTCCAATCGAGGCGTGAACTTCCAGCCGCTATGAGTGGAGATGGAGTCCATTCGGCCACTAATGGGCTTGAGATCGTTTGTCGAACCAAACTGAAAGGCACTGAAGGAACGCCATTCATCTATTCGGTGTCGAATCTACACTATTTCGAAAGACAAAGGGCGATCTTTGGGATAAGATTAAGGAAGATCGAATTGAACTTTGTGAGATTTCCGCGAATCTTACTGAATCGTGTCTGAGGAGGGAAATAGATACAAGTCTTTAACACATTACTCGTTTATTTGCTATTTACGTTTATATGTACAGGACAGGACCAAAGAAATCACGGGCACCTTCTGAAGAGAAGGTGATTATGTATCGGGCAGCCAAGCCCTTGCGCTTGACAAGCCATGGTGAGACACGACAGGCAAACATATCAAACATATTATAAATAGCTTCAAAGGCTGATTTTAATTACATTTGAATGAAATTTGTATTTTTCCGTCGTTTAATTGCAAAAAGTACCAGACAGAATGGTCCGTAAGGTATTTACCATTTCTGTGACAGTTATTGTAAACTCTGACTTTTAAAATTAGACTTATAATCTCATATTAACATATAAGATAATCTTAACAATGATATTACTATATTATTAGATGATTATTTGCCTTACAATAAATACCTATATCATTTAAAAACTTTTTTCTAAGCAGGATTTGGATTTATATCTTGATTGGTCTATTCATTTGATATGCCAAAGAACTTATTTTTAATTTTAAATGGAATAATTTTCTTTAAAAATTTTCATCGTGCTATTACAAATTAGATAATTATACTATCGGAAGAAAGAATGGACCGTCTAATCAAGAAGATCCGAATGAAGATTGGTGTGCTGTTTGTCACGATGGTGGAGTTCTTTTGTGTTGTGGAAACTGTCCACGTGTATTCCATTTATTCTGTCATGTCCCGCCTTTGAATTCTACTCCTAGGTAATTAGATATATTTGAAATTAATTTATTCACTAAGTTTCTAATTTCATAATAAACATTGTAGCATTGTAAACTTGGTTATTATTATTAATATTATAATTTAATACTACAGTAGTGTTCAATAAAACACTTTCATTTTTAATCTTTATTCACATTTCTATTTTATATTATATATATATATACCTACATGCAATATTAAGCATTTGTAGTTAATTAATGCAGACAACAAAATAAAAAAAATGACAAAATGAAATTAATATTAAATAAAAACACCGTATCTCTGCAGATACAATGTTTTTTCTACCTATTCCTTTAGTAATACTAAAGAGATTGTATTAGTTGTTTAGAAATGTAAATAGTAAACGAATTTGTCAAGAATTAAATATACAAGACTATTTGAACATAATAAACGAAAGTAACTCTTAAATTTTAAGAATACAAACATCTAAGTTATATTTTCTGCTGTCAATATAAAAGTATTCTTGTAGAGGTATGTTTTCCCAAAATAATTTTGTTACTGACTTGTGAGAATAAAGTTCTTTAAAATATCTTGTTTATATTCTAATGTATCATGAGATGGCTCATGGTCATTTTTATGATACACCAGAATATAAACAAGGAAGGTAATTCCGTTTTTGATTTTACTGGTTTGAAAAAAGTTTAATTCAAATATTTTTTCTTTGTGTATTATATATTGTTTTGTAATGCAAAATATGCTGTCCTCTACAAGTTTTAAAGCTTCTGATTTTTTTTTTTTTTTTAGTTTCCGGATTATACATATTAAAGTCATATGTTCCCCTTCTTTAGTGACAGCTCCATTTGATGATGGAAGTCCTTAAATGATACCTCGTATCTGTAAGCGTACTTAACAAAATATCGTATCTGACATTCAGCAATGTGAACATACCATAATGTTTTTATTAAATATAAAATCAGTTATGAAGTTCTTACTAAGTGTGACTGTAAAATTTTGTGCATACGAGGGTATATTACCATTTTCTAATTATTTAACTTTTGGTAGTTTTTCACGAAACAAGTGTAGAGAGGTCTCTTTTAACATAAAACTCAATTTTGACAATTTTTGCTGATGCGAGGTTTATTACTGCTGACAGCAGTATAAAGGAAGTGAATACAATTACCAATAGCAATATTAATTTTTGTTTATTAATTATTTTGCGTAATGAAGTGAAATAATTAATGAAACAAGAGCAAATAAGACAACTCAAAATTCAGGAAAGTTTGGAAGAAATTTAATTCTAGATAATGACAAACAATACTGTAAAACTTGAAAATATTTATTACTCTAAAGGATTATTATTTCTATATCTGTTTTGCAAAATATATTTTAAATTTATATTAATTAAAATATATTCTTCATGCAGTGAAGATTGGAAATGTTTAATGTGTATGGATGTCGTCAATTCTCCCGTTCCGGATGATAATAATGGAACAAAAAGAAAAAATTCGGTTGGACTCTGTGGAAGGGAACTTTTGGTAAGAATAACTTATTTAAAAATACATTTTATATACAACTTTTTAAAATTATTAATTCTAAGTAGAAATTTTTAAGACTAAAGAATGAACAAAGAAAGGAATTAAAATTATCAATTCGTGAAATAAGTGAAATGGGGTTTGATTTTACGATTTTAATTTCTTTATTTTTCAGGGCAATTATTAATATGATATATTATATTGAATAATAATAAATTGGAAAATTAACAATAGTTAACAAATTTGATTTTATTTGAAAATAACAACATATCAAAATTTTTTCACGAAAAAATTCACAATTTTACCACAAAATATCATTTGTTAGAAATAAACAAGAGTGTTGCTTGATTAATTATAGTAATAAATCTTCAAATATTTACTTGTTAATTTTATCATTTTATTTTTATAGATATGCGAAAGAATTCTTTTAGAATTATTATGCCACGAATCTAGTCCTCCATTTCACGAACCGATTTCTCGAGAAGTAAGTTCTAACCTTCATTTATACCGTATTCACTCATATTACATTAAATAAAATTATTTTTCCTGACCTAAATAAAATTTAGATTTTCTTAATTTATCATTTATTTATTAATCAAAAATTACGTAAACCTTTGTTACAAAAAATCGAGATCTGTATATAATTTTACGATACGTAATTAATTTTTTTCTCTATTTTTAGGTACCTAACTATTACAAAGTTATTACAAAACCGATGGACATGTCTACTGTCAGAAGTAAATTAGCACCAAGTCATTTTAACCATTATCGAGATGTGGAAGAGTTTTTGGCTGACGTAAGACTCATCTTCAGAAATTGCTACACGTTCAACCAAGTACGTTTAATTAACTCTTTGGGTTTACAGCAATTTTTAATATTAATGTAATTAAACATAAAAAATATTTAAAACTGAAAAAAAAGAAAGAAATGCATTAATTTTGAAGAAAAAGTTTTAAACTATTTTCCATTGTCTCGCCTTTCTGCGAAATTTGACACTGATGAGTCATTGTGTTTACAGCTGGTGTTGGATTTCCCGGGACATTCTCATAGAAGTCTCAGGAGGAGAAGGGTTTAAAGTAGGGTGAATACTAGCTGGCCGTATATTTTTAAATATTTTTCAAAAATTACGTTTTATAATGCGATTCCCGACCCCCCCGACTTAATTAAACGTATATATAATAAAATCTATCAATTAAAAAACTATTGGAGGTCGTTTTTGACATCAGAAAGTAGCTTTAACTTTACCGAAGTAAAATCTGTGCACTACAACTTTAGAACGATGAATTAAATTTGATTTTAAAAAATCTCATTAAAAAACAATTAAGCATTAATCGTGCGTCATTAAAGGTAGATTAAAATCGGAAAAAATTTATGAAAAAATTTGGAGACTTAAAAAACATCAAAAATCTAAAAAACATTTTTAGATTTTTGATGCCCGAGTTTTATGTAACGCTATGAAACTTGCCCGAGTTATCTTGGGATAAGTCCTTAAGGTGTTCTGTGACATTCCACTTATATATCATTTTTAATAATTCAGAATTTCAGAAGAGATTTTAATTTATTAAAAAATCCACGAGGAATTTTTCGGGGGGTGATCCGTCCGGATATATCGGGCCCCGTCCCTCACCACCCGGCCGGCCCATTGTGATCCTGGCCGAACCCATAATGGACTTGCTAAAAACAGGCCCTCTTAGTGCTCACAGGGCGGAAAGAGTTTTAAAAAAAGCATCGCGACTTATGTTCTACGGGATTTAGGTCCGGAAATCTTGCGGGTCATTCCATGAGACGAACATCATTGTCAAGAAGGTTTTGAGGCAAGATTTTGGAATTCCCACGTGAGACTTCCGAGATGCTGTGGGTGCAAGGTGCGGATTTCAATTTTCATGGACCATAATGTCTGCGTACCTGTGACTGCACTCATTAATTAATGACTTTCTTGACACTGATGATATTCATTGCAAGGAATGGCCTAATTCCTATAGAACGTGTGGAATATTCTAAGGTAGGGATGGCAAACCATTTTGATTCCGCGTGCCATATTGTGAGAAATATGTTGAAAAATATTATTCGTGCCGAAGTTTTGGACGTCGAATAACAATATTTAAAAAAATGAAATAAAAATGCTATATTTGGACTAAGTGTAAAGAAACTGACTGAAAAAAGGGGTGATCAGATGATATACCTATCGAATTATTGAAAAATATGGGTGATAAACCGAAATTATATGGCACGTTATGTGCCAGTTGATTCTCTCAACGTGACACTGTGCACGCGTGCCATAGGTTCTCCACCCCTACTCTAGGGAGTCGAGTTGCATCCTATCAGTCCTCACCAAAATCATTCCAGGCGATTCAAAATGCTCGTGTTTAAGAAAAGGTTTTACTCCCGACAGAATTGATAAACAACTTTATAACCAGCATGAGCAATTGCTGTAGAAAGCAAGCAGACGCAAAATTAATCATTGTCGTAAATCTTTTACACAGAAAATGCATATTACTTTCTTGTTGTTTAGTTTTAATACTTTAGATTCAAATTTTGCTTTCCAATCGTTTTGTGCTATAAAGAATATAATGTTCTGCTTGCATGTTAAGTTTCACACTGTTCTTGAGATATCTGAAGATAGGGGGCTGTATCTTTTAAAGTATTACGCATAACTTTTTAAATTACTGCATTTCTTAATTTGGTATTTTCAAATTGGTTATTATTATTTTCAGAAAGATTCCGAATTGTACGACATTGCAAAATTCTTAGAAGAATTTTTTGATGAATTACTGAATAAGTATCTTCCAGAACATGCATACGATGTTACTGTTGGTTCACAGGGTAGTAGTGTTATGGCTTCCGAAGACGAAGAATACAAAAATAAACGTCAACGTAAAGATATAGAAGATGACGATAATATCTAGATTTTTTTAAAAAATCTGTGTTTTTTAATCATCGTGCGAATGGATGAAGTCTTATTACTACTAATCTGAAACTTATCAGAAACTCATTTGGAAATATTATAATTGTGATAGGTAGAATGTATTTGTTTTTGTCATATGTAACTTAAAATGGTAGCTTATTCAATAAATTGTTTAATATATCAATAAGTTTCTATTTGATCAAACATATCCATTAACATAGGGTAAGTATTTTATAAGTCAGTAAACAAATGAAAAGTGAACAAAAATAAGTAAATAATACATAAACAGTGATTAAGTAATATAAAATTTATGATTTGAAAGTAATATGATTTCAAATTATATACATAGAACTTGGAAAGAAGTTATTTCGTTCTTTCCATTTTTAATATAGGCTTACTTTATCGAAAAATAATTATTAAAATTACAAAGAAAGGTATGAAGAAATCTTTACTTTAAATTTAAAGCAACAATATAATTGTAGTAAAGGTGATTTCCTTTAACTTACAATATGATAAACATTCCTTTTAATATAATTCTGTATTAAATTCAATAGGTTTCCGTAATTTCCATTTAGAACCCGAATATATTTTTCTGCAAAATGAGCATAGTTATAGTGTGTGCGTAAACTTTATATTGCAATGACATGATATTAGCGAAAACATTTATTTTATTAAATAATTACTCTTGGTTTCTCGAATTAGATCATAAATGAATTCTAGTCAAGACTGTTTATATTTAATTAATTAATTAACGCAAATACCTAGTGTTGCACGAAAACTACGTATACTGTACTTTTTGAGGTTTCCATATTCACACGCACTTGTAGATTTGAGATTGGATGGACATTCCGGAAAATTTATTATTATATATTGATTATCGTGGTGACCAGACGTACAGTACAAGTGGCAGGGGAAGAGAAGTTGGGTATGAGGACGAAGGAAGACAGTTTAGGTGTTTGTCCGGCGGAATAAAGTTTTGTTTTATGATCGGCGTAGTGTCTTTTTTTGTGAAAGAAGAATCTACTGTCAACCGTAGCCAGGAATTTGCGGAACTAGAGAGAAAGTGAAAAATATGATTGGTATTTTTGTTGTTTTTTAGCCAGCACTAGGCCTATTAGCTACAGTTTAAGCGTAAAAAAGTAACAGTAGCCTAAGCGAAAGCGAGTACAGTGAACTCTCGTATAACGCGCTCTCCTATAACACGACGAAACAAATTGTGATTATAGTACAGCGTCGTTTATCCGAATCAATTGGGGACTGGGGTTGTTCGGATAACTTATTTTTCGGATAACCAATTATGTACGAAAAAATATATTAATTTATCCCGTGTTGAAATTTTTTTCCGTTGCGTGTCGCTTCGCGTTGAATTTTCGTCGATGTTAAACCTACGAAGACTATTGTATCGTTAAAAATTATTTTTTTATTTTGTACAAACAAAATAAATATATTGAAAAATATAAAAACAATAAAAAATTATACTTCAGAAGTTAATTTAGTATCAAAAACGTAAAATATTTGAGTAGCCGAAGACATAGCCAAAGATTACAGCGCCACAGCACTGGCGAAAATTTAAATTTGTCGACTGGAATTCCTTCGGACAACCGACCTTCGGATAAACGACGCTCTACTGTAGTACTCATACAACGCTATAAACAGTCACGTATAACGGACTTTTTGTATAGAAACGCAGAATACATACACTTAACTATTGTTTAGGCCTATATATACACAGTAAAGCTATACCATAGTTATAAAAGATATAAAGATTTATCAAAAAAATAGTATGCACATTTAAAGATGTAAGGGTAAACTGTTTTTATTTAACGTTTAATGAGAACAAATATAAAACTAAAAATACTTCACTATTTCACATTTCTCTCCGAAGTTTCAACAACAACGTCTTGTTAATATTGGCTCTACAGATTCATCACTGGAAGAGTCCATAATTTCATCTTTATTATTCTCGTTGTTTATACACGGTTCTTTTTCCATATCATTTTTTAGCTTGAAAATATGGGGATAGACAATTATTTAATTTTCTTTTAAATAACGTAGAAAGCTCTGTTGACTGATCAATTTTCATGAAATATGTTTGTAGCTATTTCTAACCCATTATTTAAAGCAATATACGATCAGTGCTGGAACTCAGAGTCTAGTTTATTCTTGCATAAAATTGTCTGATAATGCATGTCTGGTATAACGCAATTTCCTATAACGCGGAACGTAGCCCCCGCGTTCTACGGCAGTCATCTGTATTATATATATACTGCATATGGACACTACTGACTTAGCCACCTCATAGCTCACTGTAGCTACGGATATGTCCATTTCACAATGCAATCAGTACTACGTTTCCAACAGTACGGTAAAAGCCTAATATTTTAGAAAGCATTTCACTTAACCATTCAGATTTAACGTATTGTTTTAATCGAGCTTATTGGGCTCACGAATGCCTGTGGAATTTTAATTTTGTGTTTTATCGAAGAAAAGATAGAAAAGTACAGGCATGGCGTGAGATAAGCGAAAGTCTCGCCATTGATTGCAAGTATCATTTTTAGATTTCTGGGTGTAAAATGACTATTGTTTTTAGTTTAGTAACGACAATATTCTTTCACATTAAAGAAAAAAAAATAACAGACGAAGTGGATGTTATATATTATTATTATTTTATTATAAGCTCACGTGTATCTGAGTTGCAACGCCAACGAACAATGTGACCACGACAAGACGCGTGCAAATCGTGCTCGTTGCAGTTCCAGTTACCTGCGCGGCTGAAATCGCTAGGTGTGACCATTGCTTCAGAAATTTTTCATGGATAGGACCGAATACGTCCGGTTCTGTCTCTCATTGAATATCCGATTCAATATATTCATTACGGCTTTGTATACTTCTAATTTTATTAAAAGTTTTTAAAACTGCAAAAATTAATTGAATTTTGTATAATAAAATATAATTTTAATAGTAATTTTATCCTATAAGAATAATTTTTCAACTTCAAAAATGTCTCCAAATATCTTATATTATGTATTTCTTCCGAAGGAATTTGCCACCAGAGGATGTCGTGTCTCGAAGCAAGCGAAAGGTTAGTTTACTAAACGTGATCGTTTGCTATAGAAATTAACCAATAACGTTGTAGTTTACTACGGCGTTATTTCGTTTTAAATAAGTAGAGTTATCGAAGATCCGTTTTAATTTAGTTTTTTTATTATAAAAATATAAGACTTATTTCGAAAAATATTCTGAAATAGCTTTGAATGTTCTGAATTCAAGCTATTAATATAACTGCGTTGGAAATAGGAAACAATGATTGTTGTTGTTTCAGATACCTCTCATAGATGGCGCATATAGTATATTATTTAAATTCGTTTCATAAAATATAAAATTTGTTTATTTTCTTTCAAGCAATGAATTTCTTTTTAATTAGTCCTTTTTTGTGCTGTTAAAAGAAGAAAATACTGTTTTGCAAATATATCTGGACCCTCACCAACCTTATTTATTGAAGTGCTAGGAGAGTCTTATAAGTTTTTTTCTTTTTCATGGCATTACTCAAAATAATATCTAGTATTTTCTTTATATTCAAGCTCCCAGGTTTTATCTCGAAGATAAAAAATACAATTTACAATTTACATTGCTTTTTTACTACAGACTTGTCCCCAAATCCTTTGGATCAAGGTACAAATATACTATATATGTATATTCACATGGGAACAAAAACCCAAACCAAGGCCCACAAAGTCTGGATCTTTCTTTACTGGTAAATTTAATAAGAAAGTTATAATTATTCAATTATTTAATTAAACAAGCTTATCAAATCAAAATGATGTAAAAATTACATAAACGTATAAAAATGTAACAGTAAAATATTAAGATAAATTGTAACAGAAAAAGCTAAGTTTTTTGTTGCTCTGCAAATTGTAGTTGTTAAAGTAACACGGGAACCTAATACAAGTTTTCAACCATTTTGTCCCGACAAACAAGTTACAGTATAATGAGAAGTTTACGAACGTAACTGACGATTGGAACGGATTCTATTACTGTATTTACTCGAATAATCCATGCACCCATTTTTTAAATTTATTACATAATTAACAAATTTTACCATTCAACATGGCAACTCTCAGTTAACAAGTCTACGCGGTATTAATATTTTTTCTTTATTATTATTATTTTTTTTTATCTTTTATTTGTATATCAGGTAAATTACTACAAATTGCAGACAATTTATTTTATTATGAATTAACTAATTAAATGAAAATAAGACGTCTCTACTTTGTTTAATTTGAATTAAAAGTGAAAAAAACTGCTAATTGACCAATAGCTGAAACTGAGTGGCAAGTTAATACAGAGATATAACGATTACCATCAGCCATTTGTATATTTAACTGCCTTTATTTATCTTTATTTTCACAAAATTAGTTACACTAAAATGTTTAAATAATATTGCTCGTAACTATCGATTATAGATGCCCTTTCATTAAGCAAAATAGTCCTGTTGATAAGCGAAATTTACCACTAGCAAAATAAGCAAAACGATTCACCGGTTGCATTACCAAATTTGTTTCTCCAGACATCTAGACTTTTTGTCACGATTTTTTGGAAAAAAATGCGCAATTATACGAGTAAATACGGTATTAATTGGTCAAAACGTTACAAAATGCAAGGCGTTCTAAATATTCTAAAATGTTCTAAATATTCTTTCCTTTAGATTATGATAGTACAATTACATGGCTAATATACAGTATATAGTATATACTGTACATAATTTTTTATGTAGATGTATTCAGAGCATAACAAGATAATATTAAAAATCAAACTTAGCAAAGTTTTGATATTGAAAATTATTAATTTTTTCGACAATTCCGCATTATTGCTAACAGGATACATTACGTAATTGCTCGCCTGGTATAAAATCTCTTGCTAAACCACTACAATTATAACATTATACTGTGAAATAAGATTCAGTTTAGATAGCGTAGCGATTTTGTGAAGACGCAGCGCCCCTACAGTTCATCATAAACGCAAATAACACGTTTTCCAAATTTGTACAGTGCCTGCTTACGTAGACATCCGCCGAAAGTTTTTCAGGGATGAAAATGCTTGGAGACGATTAGTTTTATTCAACTGTTTAGTTTTTTGGACTTTTTTAAGAT